CTAGGCTGCCTAAACTTACTCATCTCCCTATCTCTGATATTCTGATAGCTTCATATCTTCATTCGGCATATCTTCACGAATACAATATGCTCACAAACTTTAAAATTGAAACAAGTGATAAACAATGTAATTTTTTGAATTTAAGTTTTATGTAATTCAATTGATATTTACTCACATACTTAGAGGTTGTCCTCGTTCATATGTCTATTTTTTCCTCATACATTCCTTTTCCTTTTTGTTTTTACGTAGTTTAATATTACTTAAAATTTTTATCCTTTTTTCTTAAGGCGTTTATTTAATCTAAGTCTACAATTCCATTTTAGCTCCTCACGGCAACGTCACCAGTTCAAATATCTTTATTGGTCCCTTTAAAGAGGCCTATCTTGGAAGCCCTCTTGTAGCTATACATGAAGATGCTGATGCCTTCTCAAGTGAAGATGATGCATCTACGAAATATTCAGCCACAGATTCTTCTAACTGTTATAGTATCAGTAAAAAGAATAAAGGATCGCCAATCAGTGATAGGTCAAGAACAGAGTCACCCAGAGTGTCTCTTGCCTTAGAAGAGCTGAATTTAGATGACCTGATTAAAGGGGATTTGGTCGGACCAGATTCTTCCACTTTCCAACAATCTGAAAGGTTACAACATACTTCTTCCTCTTTGCACCACCTTCCTACTACTCAAACTTGCAGCCCAAAACCCTGTGAACCTTTTCAGGAATTGTTGATTACACATCCAGTGTTCGGCCCTTCTTACTCCACCCCTCCTAAACGTAATGAGGCATGTTCATTTAGCCTTTTTGCCGACCTGCCCTTCGAGCCTCCTGATTTGGATTCTGAGTCATCCTGTTCCTTATCACCCGAAGGCCCCAATTTTGACAAGAACGTAAATATATTCACATCACTTTTTCTCAATTACTGATACGCTCACAAAATCACTTCTTTTTAGTCCTCTTCTGAAGATTATAAGAAATTAATTTTTACATGATTTCTTCACAGAATAGCCTCGTTACCGGAGATAAGGTTTTTATATTGTCTCAAGGATAATGTGCTAGATCGTTGTTATATAGATTAAGATGGTGTCGTCTTGGGTTTGATTGCAGTCTCCTCTAATTATCTTGCGTTTGTGTGCTCTCGTTTGCCTAATATATTTCTAAACGTTTCGCTGCCATCTTATTCGGTATTTTTATTTCTTTTACGATGAAAGGAGACCGCGACTAAAATAGAGGTCACACGCCTTGGCTTTCTTACCTTAATTTTTAATTTGCATTTCAAGAAGTATGAATATCTTATTGACGTACTTTATTACTTCTCATTCCTAGCTATTTTTATCTTTTAAAATTGTCTCCATGTATAGGAAATCGGTTCTAATGAACTTGAAAAAGTCGATGAGGATCAGGCTAACTATGAACTATTTGATGGCGATAATGCTTACCATGTTTTGGAACTCGAAAGAACGGTATTTACCAGAGATTATTCCAGAAAAAGTTTGCATAACAAGGCTGAAAGTTTTAATTGTCTAATTGCAACGAATAAAAATATAGAAACCACTCATAATTTGCCAGTTCTACTCGAACCCCCAAAAATGGGCAACTCTACTGAACGTGACTTGTTTGATTTCATCTCCTTAATGCTTGAAGT